GCAACGTTAACGTGGTAGGAGCCCGGAATGTGAGATTGAGGACAGCAGGGTACGAGAAGCAGCGTGCCACAGCGATGCTGTGTATTACAGCTGACAGCCACAAGCTTCTGCCCTACATAATTCTGAAGAGGGAAAACATGCCCAAAATGGGTGTTTTCCGAAGCATGACATTATCCGAGCCCAGACGAAAGGATGGATGCCAGCCGAGATAATGGAAGATTGGATCCGGGTTGTGTGGCAGCAGCGCCCAGGGGCACTGCTTGGTGGAGGCTTCAGGTACGCGGTCAGTGCTTGTCTTAGATGCTTTTCGTGGCCAGCTCATTCGGATGTGAAGACCAAGCTGCTAAAGAGCAAGTGCGACTTGGTCATGATTCCAGGAGGCATGACATTAGTGCTGCAACCCCCTGGACATCGCGGTGAACAAGCCGTTCAAGGCTTGTTCACCGCGATGTCCAGGGGGTTGCAGCACTAATGTAATGCACTAATGTATTTTTTGTACTTCGACAGAAGTACAAAAAATAAATCCGGAACCCCGACAAAAAAAAAAAAAACAACACTGACGGGAAAGTTTTGCAGAAAGTGTCCCACTGTAGCAACATGAATTTTTAACGCATGAAAACATGTCAAAGTCGACATCACAAACAACTTGGACGGCACCGCAGACGATCTGCTGCGGGACACCGAGAGTGACAGCTCGAGCGGCAGTGATAGTGACTGACCTGCTACACGAGTGGTGGGTTCACTGTGTGTGCCTACTTTTCCTTTTATTGTTTTTGAATTAAAATGCGATTTCTCGCGTCAAGCTCCTTGATATGTTGTCGCGAAAGGGGTTGGGCTGTGCGGTCATTTTTTAAATCTAATCGACCCGCCACAACTTTAATTATCAAGATAAAAAGGGGGTGCTTAGAATTGAGTAAATACGATATACCATCATAATCCTGTTTTCTTCCACTGCAGCACGAAAAGCTCTGCCAACTATTTCATATTAACCCAATCCTGAAGAAGCTGATTCCATCTTATTCTTGTGAGTCTCTTCATTTTATCATCATTCTACCAACCTCAGCTGCATCTCCCATTCCTTGTTATCCTTTGTTGACCACCAGTTGTCAGTCCTGCACATAACATGGCTTCCTCTGGTAAATTTTTTTTTTTTCACAGGTGCCAGCTAAAAGAATAGCATCGGCTACCTTCGTTTGCACTCTAATCTATTCTTCAGGCTTCCCATCTCCTCCTGCCTACAGATTTTCCTTCCCTTCCGCCGCGTACGGAACTTCAACTTTTTCTAGAGTTCCATGATTACCATTTCAGCTCTGTATATTAGTATTGATAATAAGCAATGACTGTACACTTTTTAGAAGTAGCAGTAAGTTCCCTTCCTTGATTTGGTAATGTCTGCCATACAAACAGCAGCCCATCCTTATCCTTCAGTGAATTCTCTTTCCATGAGTGAGCTACCCTGTAAGTGACCTAGGACTATACAGTAGAACCTCAATGATATGTTGTTTTTTTTGGGGGGGGGGGGGGAGAAGGGGGAGTCGAGCAGAATATAAATATACGATTTTGAAAATCTACGATCCAAATCAGATTAAATTACCGTAATTACTCGAATCTAATGCGCACATTTTTTCCGGTTAAGGGAGTTCATAAATCGCATGCGCGTTAGAATCGAGTACGAACAAAAAAATTACGGTCAATCTATTGCCATCGGCAAATCCAAAATGGCCGCCCCCTACGTGTGTCGGCATGGCGCGTCGGCCATTTCTGCCTATGTGTTTCCCATGTGCGGCACTTCGTACGTGTGCTGAGGAGTTCGTCATCTAGTAGTGCATTAGCATCGACGGCGTGGAAGGGCCGACTCCAAAAACTCGAGTGCACCACGATGCCGCTTTTAAAGAAAAGTCATCGCGTGTGCAGAAACGGACGGAAATCGGGCCGCATCGCGGTCGTTCGGAGTTCCCGAAACGTGCGTGCGGGACCGGCGGAAACAAAAGCAGGAGATTGTCGACAGCAAAGCTTCACGCAAAGGCTTCAGTGGACCACAGCAGGGTCGGTTTCCGCAAATTAAAGACCTGCTCGGCGAGTATGTGCTTGAGCAGCGAGCGGCACAGCGGCCCGTGACGACAGAACTGCTCCAAGTGCGGGCTATGCAATTATTCTTAGAAAAAGGTCTAATGCGGAGCCAGTTTAAAGCGAGCAGGTGCTGGCTAACTAACTTTATGAAGAGGAAAGGCTTTTCCCTCCGAAGGGGAACATGCATATGCGAAAAGTTTTGCGGAGGAGTACGATAAAAAGCTTCACAGTTTTCAGAGGTTCGTCCTAAACTTGCGGCGCAACAACGGCTACCTGCTTGGGCAAATCGGGAATGCCGATCAGACGCCTCTTTACTTCGACATGCCTGGCACCACAACCGTCGAGAAGAAGGGGGCGAAGCAAGTTCGCGTGCTGACATCGGTCCACGGTAAAACTACAGTGACGGCAATGCTCTGCTACACGTCAGAAGGGCACAAGCTTCGCCCGTACCTCATATTTAAATGGAAGACGCTCCCGAAAGGAGTCGTTTTTTCGAGTGGTGTGATCGTGCGGGCCAACGAGAAAAATGGGTGCACGTTGCAATCGATGTCTTACGTTTTTTTTTTTTTTTTTTTCGCGGTGGAAATCGGGTGCGCATTACAATCGAGGGCGCGGTAGAATCGAGTAAATACGGTAATTTTTGTGATTGTGACCATAAGAGCTGGGAAATCCTATTAAACGGGTACGTATCAATCAGTTTCTACTGTTCTACGACCCCTTTGTCATTTCCTCTCATGAGAATATGTACGGATAGAAAACAAACTTAATCTATGTTGCAATATTCCCTGTTTAGCCTTTTTGCGCCATGCTCATTAAAACATGTGAATCAATTTCTTATGGGCTGTCAGGTTCTGGCCACAGACAGGCTAAGGGATGTCTAGCTAAACCAACCAATAGTTCTTCAGATATGTGAAAGGCCTCACAATCACTTATCACGTCAAGCTGCTTTTCCTAGGCAAGCACACCACACCACTGAGTTTTCGAAAAATTGACAGCAAACACATTTACTGCAATAAATAGCAAAAAAGGAAAACATTACTTTGCTGATACTGCCATAAAATTCTGTTATCGAATTCCCCAACTAAATCCTGCAATCAAAAGGTAAAACATTGATAGCAGCAAATATATCAAAGCTAGACTGAAAAAATACCAAAATTCACTGTTCCAAGTAAAACCTTGTACTCTTGTAGTAATTGCCATGAAAAAAGGTTGCTACCCACTGTTTGCACACCCTTAGTAAAGATATGTAACTAGGAGTGAGCGAATAATAAAAATTTCAAATATTTCTCGAACAGTGCTTGCTAATTAATGCAATTTGCACTGAAATTTTTATTATTTAAACTTCTCAGCAACAAGTGCAGTCAATGTCCAATTGAAAGTGCCCCCTTCAGATCTTTATTATGCTTGACCTCATCACATTCTCGTATTCCGGCAAAGCTACTTTTGAGGCTTTGCTGTAGTCAAGCTTTTTGAAGACCAATGCAGTCACCCAATTAAAAGTGGCCGCTTCAAATTTTTAATATGCTTCAAATCATCACACTATCATGTTGCGGCAAAGCTGCCTTTCAGGCTCTGCTACGGTCTCAAATGTATGGACTCAAGAGAATGCTAGTTGTAACATGGAGGTGATATATGTGGCAGAGATGGGGGCTCGATTCAGCTGTTTTGGAACAGAAATTTTGGCAGCAAGTCCAAAAAATCAGACACTAAAGATTTCTAGCATCCGAAATTCCAAGTATTCTTGTACGTTGAAGTCTACGAGACAGATTCGGAACTCCTAACTAGAAGAGAACACAACCCTGCCAGCCACATCAATTGGGCTTCCACCGAAGTTGAAAAAGCAGAGGCTGAGGATATACCATCATTGCCTTTCACATGTGAAGTGTTGTCAGCAACACTTTGGTTGCACAAAATCATCTACCAACACCATTTGGCCTCTACATTGCCTCATTTTTGTTAATACAACAATGAAATACCACGCCCACAGTTCTTCATCAACAGGTGAACATTAAAAAGACAGTTCTGACCGATTTTGTCAACTTTACCTTCCACCAGCGCTCTTTGCTAACTTCATTATGATTCAACCTATCTAGTGCACTTGTAATACGACATGAAGAGCTAGCTCCACTTCTTTGTTACAGCACTTTCTAGTATCAAGCATCGTCATAAAAAAAGTTGCACAGGCTACAAAATGCTTTTGATATTCGAAACACTCCTTGAAATCAGGCATTCCTACGTGCCTGTATTGCAAAAACAAAACAAAAAACAAATCTACTTCATTACATTCAATATTTATATCAGCGTTTGTTACACAGACTGTCAACTGTGCTACAGATGCTGTCATTATTGCTAAACTCAGTTGTCCTGTAGCTGTCCAGTATCGAAGCTCATTTGCTCGCACTTAAGTTATTTAGACAGGAATTCCCCTTCACCTCACTCAGCACTAAATAAAGCACAACAATTAACACTTCGACTGCTGCAAACGCACAGTTACCCCAGCCCCTATATTTGCAACAAATACCTCCCAGATATAAGGCCAAAATGCACCAAATGCCAAAATTCAAGGTGCGATTTAAGTCGCATGCTGTGGCAGTGTCCCGTGCTAAACGCTAGCTTCGGGTCCCCTGCCACCGAGTATGACTAGATCAACCACCTCAGGAGCCCCGACAGGGCCCTTCAACACCAGGCCGTCCAGAAGGCCCAAAAGGTGGCTGGCGAGCTCCGACTTCCAGTCCCCACATGGGCGAAGCCACCTGGCTGGCCCCCGTAAGGTGTGCCCAGTTCCCTTCAGGACCTTTAATAAAGTTAATTCTCTCTCTCTCTCTTCTTCCTCTTCACATATGGTCATTTTGTTTATGTGCATTGCAGTCACACTGCGCTAACTCTGAAATTATTCGCAAGGACTTGCCACAGAGGATGATGTGGCTCACCTGCTGTCCGGTAGCTTGAAGGTGGGTTTGGGTATTGCTGGCCACGGGAGCTGCTACGGGTTGCGCTGTAACTACTTGCCACTTGGTTGGGTCATTGGGATCTTGCTGGAATTGCTGGGCTGCAAGCACAGGGCAGTAGACAAAGATAAGGTCCACTTACACTTCACAACACTGAAAGTCAACCACACTAGTCTATGCTTGGCCACACCAAAACAGCTTGTATATTCACTCTCACTTGCTGACTAACTCCTATAGACAACCTTGAACGAGCCCTCGAGCAAGAGCAGCAGCTTAGAATGAATTTAACTATTTATCCAATACTAATCTGCAGAAAAAGCGTGGTATTAATACATGGTCAGAAAAATACTAACCTAAGAGCTGCCCATTGGCCAGCGCTGCCTGCACTGTTTGCAAGGGACTAAGGGGTGCAGCATTCTGCAGAGGAGAAGCAATAACATTGCCCTGTGGGGTGATGCCCAGTGCTTGAAGGGTCCCACCGCCTAGAATATGAGTCTGTCCTGCTCCTCCACCAGCTGCCCCTTGCATTTGGAGTCCAGGAAGGCTCTGCACCTGCATGCAGTGAACTGCTATCAGAACAGCTGCAGGAACGCTCAAAGCAGGAAAGAGAGTACAATCAGCCTTGTTTATAACTAATGAACAGGAACATTCCAAGGGCCATTGAAGGAGGGCGACAGAGAAAACAACGGTGGTCTCTGCATTTGAGAAGCGCAGAAAATAAAAGCCCTATTACTCAAAGAAATGAAGCCATAAATACCCTTTATGTATTTCAGAGTCGAACTATGGCACGGACCTCGCTCTGAAAGCTTATTGACACATTCTGAATAGGATAACTCCAAGTGTAGTTAGATCGAGTTGTCTCGTTTTTCTTTCTGCATCTTGTTTTCTGATTAACCCTATGAGTGTTTTTGCCATAGATGTACACTGGCCATTTTATGTCCTGCGGTGTCTTTGCCACATGAGTATGTTTTCGAACCTCCACTTCAAATTTTGCTCCATAATGATGATGCATGCTCACTGGGGGGTGCTGCCACCTCCTAGGAATTGCAAAAAGTGTTGTAAATTATTGTGCTACCTTTTCACGGAGATAAGCAGAACTGATTTTTAGCGTCAGCGCATTGCATGGTCAGCAGCAACACCGACGGGCAGCACCGTTTCGTGGTTTCAGTTTTGCAGCGTGTTTGGAATGGAGGCGTGCGAAACTTGATTTTTATCTTTATTGTCATTTCTTGCTGGAGTGGTGGCAGTTGATTTTCATATTTATCCGCACTGCTATTAGCCTGTTCATCACTGGCACTCACAGGGTATTCTCGTTCTCTTTAATTACTGAGTTTACTCTGCATACAGAGAAGATGCCGTGTGTGTGCACCAACACAATCATTATCAATGCAAGAGAAAAACACACATGCATTTTATGTGTGCAGATGGTGAGAAGGCAGTCTTTGCAGACCCGTGTTTCAAAGACTACCACGCTCTGAAATACTGTATTGAACATGATGCAGTTCCGAGTGATGATGACACCAAGCTATTGTTCCCGTATTTTTTAATAGTTTTCCCGATTTTATACATTTCCTACATTCAGAGACTACAATGAAGTAATTTGAACATTCGCAAAACTCTTTTCGAAACAATTCGACATTCAAAGGCATAATAAAGAGCCAACACATCTAAACAAAGATAGTTTCCTGGTTGTGGTAGCTTGTGGTCAAATTTCAAGATGGCACGGCCTTAAGGTCTTACATACATTTTTAGAATTGGTTTATTTTGCCATCAAAACAATGTGCGATGGATAAGAAGCCGCGATAAAAGCTAACTTTCGATAGCTTGACAATGCCGTGGACACCTACAAACAACAAACAAACACCTTGGTGGCATCGCAGCCGCATGAAAAAGGCATTAAAAACATAACACACGCGATGGGTAAGAAGCTGCGGTAAAAGCTAACTTTTGATAGCTTGACAACGCTGTGGATACCTACAAACAAACAAACACCTTGGTGGTATCGCAGCCACATGAAAAAAACAAAAACATCACACATTACAGAAAGCAGTAATACATAGTAATACAGAGCTAAACAATACAAATTTATCAGTATGCAGTAGACAAATAATGTTGCAGTGCAATTCCGCAATTAATGTCACGTATGCAAAATGAAAGACAGTAAAATAAAACATTGGGAACAATATAGTTAGAGTTCATGGTCAACATGTTACAAAGTATAACATAACCACATTAGGTGAACGTTTTATTCATACAAGAAAACAGTGTATTTATGTACTAGTAAGTTAGGCATCTTGGCAAAGAAAGCATTCAAAAATAGCTTTTTTTGAGGTACTTTCTAAAACTATGTTATTTCTAGGTAAATTATTTAGAAGTCGTGGCGATTCATTTTCTACTATAATTGCAAACCATATTGCTTTTTATATGTTGAAACAAGCCACTCATCAGTTTGCCGAGTTGTGTGGGTGTGTTCGCGTTTTCATAAATTTGAAACCTGTTACAAAAAGGATGTGTTCAGGGTTATACAACATGCTTAGGTCTTGCATAAGTTTCCTGGACACCATGCTACGTTCACATGAAATGCAGTGCAATGTTTTGTAAAAACTACCACTTCCTAGGCAAAATATGCAAATGTACTTTAGGTTAATTTTTTATGCCCCTAGGTTGCATCACTAGCTATAAAGGACTTTAAGCAAGTAGTCTTTGTGGAGTGCTATCGGTAGGACAGAAAGAGCAGCACCTGAATTATGTTGGGTGATCTAAGACCAGCCAGGCCTGAAACATTGATGGCAGTGGTCCCCATTGGCCACCACGTTGCACCACCTAGCAGCTGTCCCATTTGGCCTTGGACCACTTGGCCTGAGGGAAGCTGCACAGCCAGTGCCTGCGCCTGCACACCAACATTGGCACTTGTGACTGTTGCGTTAATAGACACAAAGTGGCCTGTTTCCTGGAAGGTGATGGGTGGGAAGAAGGCCTGAACATTCACTGAAATAGCAACTTACCTTTGAAGGAGAAATTCTACAGGCACTAGCCCATCAGTATGAAACTTGGAGGCAACAGAACATGAGGAGAGACAAAGCACAGCACAATGAACAGTGGTAGAGAAAAATGGTGGCATAGATTAAAGGATAAATACAGTAGTTTTAACTGTGTATGTTGCTTGATTGGTTCATAAAAAATGTAACTGCGATAAGTACAAGGAAGGAAGGAAAATAGAAAGAAAAGAAGAGCAGAGAGGTTAACTAGCCTATAGGCAGCCGGTATGCTACCCTGCACATGGGAGGGGGATCGGGGAGATGAAAGACAGAAAGCAGAGAGAGAAGAGAGATAAACACAGCACATTCGGCAGCACACGCACGCACACTCAGTCATAGTCCAGTCTTGTCTTTCGCGGTGGGTGACATTGCTGTTACAGCCGCTTGTTCAAGTCCGCGTCGCTTAGGAATTTCAACAGAGCTTTTGGCGCCTTCTGTTGCAATGTCTTCTCTCGGTCACTTGACAGAATAGTGTCTACAGACATTTGGCTGTTGTCGATGCGCGCGAAAATGGACACCAGTGACTGTCTCTGGATGTCATACAACGGACAGTCGCACAGGATGTGGCATAGCGTCTCTTCGCAATGACAGGCGCCCCCCAAGCAACGAGATGGATTGTCAACACCACCTGTCCTCTTTGATGGCTCTCCGCATGCCCACTGGGCTCGACCGGAGAAAAGCCATCCTTTTTCATCGCTTATGGTCCGAAGTGGCATTAACAAAATCTTATTCCTTTGTCATAGGAATGGCCGACAACACGATAAGTGCAAATTGCAAATAGTGTTTATGGTGCACAGAACTTCTGGTAGTAAATTGTGCAGGGAAAATAATGTGCAAGGAAAAGAAGACTGATGGCCCATTTAAAATAGAAGGCTCAAAGGGAAAGAAAGTTGAGACAAACGTAACAGAGGATTAAGAATTTTGCACGTATGAGATGCAGTCTGCTAATGGTGACGATGCAGACCACTCAGGCATGAGGTCAGTGCCACCTGTGCACGCAACAAACGGCATAAAAGGATCTAAAAGCGACCAACATGCCATGAAAAAGCATAACTAGTGCTCATGTGCTTCAGCTGAAATTCTGCACTTCAGCTTGTCCTGAAGAAGACCGGTGGCTGGCAAAAATGTGGAGACTATCATGCCCTCAATGCACGTACCATCTAGGACAGGTACTCCATTCACCACATACAGGACTTCGCCCATAGCACTCACGGCTTCCACGTCTTCTCCGTGCTAGATTTGGTGAAGGCTTACACGCAAATGCCCATCAATCCAGACATCGTTTCAAAAACTGCAATAATCAACCGGTTTGGCTTGTTCAAGTTTCTTTTTTATGAGCTTTGGCCAAAGGAACGCGGGGCAAACCTTCCAGCACTTCATCGACGAAGTCCTCTGCGACCTTGACTTCTGCTTCTATCTTTACGACATATTGGTCTTTTCACGGGACGCCGAAGAACACCACGGCCTGCTCGTGAATGTCCAGAAGAGCACGCTCAGTGCTTTCGCCATCCATTTCCTTGGAAGTTTCATCAGAGGGAAGCTTTACCCTTCCATGAATGCTTCTATGACTTGCAGAAGTACCCTCAACCCACCACCAGTAACGACCTTTGCCGTTTTCTCAGCATGCTGAACTTTTATATAAGTTTCTTACCGCACGCCGCCGACTACCAGGCACCTCTTCAAGATGCCTTGGCTGGTCTAAGAGGACACCAACTCATCACATGGACACCAACTTTGGTGCAAGTTTTCGAGAAATGCGAGAATGCTCTCTGCACCACCACACTCCACTCCCATCCCGTGCGTGACAATCCCTCGGGACTCTTCTCGGACACCTCTGGTTTTGGAGTTGGTGCAGCCCCGATAGAACGCGTGAACAACACCTGACAACCCTAAGCGTTCTTTTCAAGGAGACTCTCAGCTCGGAAGGCGACCCCTTCAAAGGCTAATTCCACCGACGAAACCACAACCGCTGCCCCTACAAATTCACAAGCTTACTAGAGAGAACGCCTGGCGATATACGAAGCAGTTACACACTTCTGCCACATTCTCGAAGCACAGCACTACACTATTTATACTGACCACAAACCTCTTACCTACGCCCTCTCACAACATCGCGAGAAACTCCTGCCTGTTTAGCAGTACCAACTCTCGTTCCTCGCACAATTTACCATCGACATCCAACATGTCAGTGGGAAAGACAAAATGGTTGCCAATGCTCTTTCATGTGTAGCCACCATCAGCTTGGTGCAGATAACAGCAGACATCCTCGCCAAGGCTCAGACCATGGACACCGAACTGCAGGAACTCCCAAGGGCACGTCCTCACTACAGCTACAAGAAATACGTCCTTATTCCAGGGTCGGCAACCACAATCTACTGTGACATGTCAACAGGAAGAAGCAAGCCCTATGTGCCCCTGTCCCATCACTGTGGTCTTTTCAACCAGCTCCACAACCTCAGTCATTCCAACATACACGCCTCTACATGCCTTGTGGCTGACTTCTGTGTCTGGCCCTTCATGCAGCTGGGTTGTCGCACTTAGGTGCGCTCCTGCATTCACTGGCAATGCGCTAAAATCACCGGGCATGTCACGTCTTCATTCAGAACCTTCCTTAAGCCCTCTGGTCAGTTCGAGCACGTCCACCTTGACACCATAAGACCCTTTCTCCCGCCTGGACCCTACCGCTACTGCCTCACTGCCATCGACCGGTACACTCGATGGCCCGAGGCATGGTCCCTCGAGGGAATTACCGCGGAAAATGTCGCCCCAGCTTTCTTTTTCGGATTGCTAGTTTCGGCGCCTCCCTGTGTAATCATCGACCAACGACGACAGTACGAGTGGCACCTATTCAGGCTCCACAGACTGACTATCGGTATTGAATGCTTGAGGACCACCAGTTACCACCCCTGCACCAACAGAATGATCGAGCATTTCTACTGACAGTTCAAGAAAGCCATTATGTGCCACTTGGACTCAATCTGGCCCGAGGTCATCCCAGATGTCATCCTCGATCTTCACGCTTCTTTCAAGCCAAACAACCACACTACACCAGCAGAGCTAATCTACAGGAAACCACTCAAGTCTCCCAGGTGAATTTTTCGCAGTTCTGCCATCCAGCACTACGACGTCAATCCCCACCAACTTATTTGCACGGCTCCGACGCACCATCGCCGCCTTATGCCCGTCACCTGCAGCCCACTGCAGCAAGCCTACACCTTTTATGTTGAAGGAGCTAGCATTGTGCATGAACGCTTTCCTCCGCGACGACACCATCCGCCGGCCTTTCCAGCCACTCTACAGCGGACCCTACTTAGTCGTCTGTCGCGACAAGAAATTCACACTGCCCTTGAACGAGGACAACGTCCGTGTTTCGATTGACCGACTCAAGCCCGCATACATCGCTGCGAACAAACCAGGCAGCGCCACTCCTTCCACAGCCACCGACGTCACAGTCTGCGTTTTTAATGACACGCTCTGGATGTCTGGTACGCTTCCCAGATTTCTAGAGACCCTGAGGGCTCTGCACTCTGCGAAGCAGTGATGTGGCAACTACTGTGCACAAACCTGCGCACCCTCTGTCTCGTCACTGGTTAGTCCGGCTTGACACGGCCACTTGCTGCAACACGCTTCCGGTAAGAAACAGCGCCACAGCAACTTCTACGGAGGCCTACGTCACCTCTGGTGGCTATAAATACTAAGCTGCCAAGCTTGGTTTCGTCCTTGCTTCTGTAACCATTCGAGTGCAGTGGCGGCATGCTTGCCCTGCTGCTGCTACCATGTTAATAAACGATTGTTACATTTTATTTTATGATGCATCCTTCTAACAATACAGCATCCCACAAATGTGTGAAAATGTACAATCGCCTTTCAACTGACTACCTATTCAAGAAAATGGGCGCACAGGTACATAACATGGCACTCTGTACACAAACACAATATGTTCCCAATAATATACCTGCAGCTTCAGAATAACACATGAACCAGGGGTAGTTCTATGCATAATTTGCTTACATTCAACATGACATACAGTGCAAATGACGGGACAAGTCCTGTTCAGAAGTGAGACTGCCCTTCTAGTATCGGTGTCGCTGCAGCTGATGTTTCAACAAGCGGACTTGTCTTCTTCAAGGCTGCAATATGACAGCATTGGTGGTAGCGTTGATGATGACAAGTCCACTTCTCGAAACATAGGCCCCAGTGATACCCTGTACTCACAAATTTTCAATTTCTTCAAACTTCCCATCACTGACCTGTAAAAGCAAGAGCAGTCAACATCGGCCTAAATTTACTGCAGATTAATTTCACAGTTCTTGCTAGCTATGAGCACGTACATGTATGGCGGCGAAGTTTTGTTAAGACAGCACTGATAATACCTTGGCAACCTTTTTCTTTTAATTTTTTTTCTTAATGGAATGAGAATTTCTATTAGCAGAATCTATCAACATAAGGCTGCATCAGTCACCTAAACTACTTGAGCTAATCAAGCATTACTTGCACGAACTGCAGTCTCACATATTGCCAGATGATTTCACTCAACAAATTTTGTCCCCAATTTCTCTATTGATACCCTAAACACTTTCTGGTAATCTTGACTCCCAACACGGTAAAGTGACACTCAAGAGAAAAACTATTTTTCTTGCACCCTCCCCCCCCCCCCCCCCCAATAGTAGATTATCCTTTCACAATACCGAAAGCACCAAGCTTGTAGTAAGAAGACACTTGATAAGAGAGGAAACACGCTAAAATAAATCTAGGTACATCACCTTGAGGTTCCTGCTCCAATCACTGTGATGACATCATCGATTCTGACGGTCTACTAGAGCCTTCACAGTTGTTAATTGATAAAAATAAA